GCATTGGGGCTGGGGGGGGGGTCACTGGATTTTGTGTCACAGGGCCCTTGGCCACCTCACCAGGAGCCTGTTGGGTACCCCTGGGGGCCATGGGGAAGAAGTGGACCCTGCTGGGGCCCCAGGACCAACCAGGCTGAAGGTCAGCGAGCGGAGTTTCTCATTTTCCTCCCTCAGCCGGCTCAGCTCCTCAGCTCCTGGCTCTGGGTCGTCAGCCATCTTCAGAGACCGCTCTCGAAACTCACGCTCACAGGAGGCCGACAGCCTCTCCCGCTGCAGCTCCTGTTTCATCAGATACAGCTGCCGGGGGAAGCGGACAGGAGGGGCGTGTGAACAGTGTGCCCCGACCAGGGCAGACTCAGCAACACTGGGCGACGGGCACCCACAAAGAGGAGGGGGGAGTTCCAGGAGATGGGCCAGAGAGCAGCAGGGTGTCCCCCCAGCACCTCCTCCTGCAGGCCGCGGCAGCGTGTGGTGGCCAGCTCCTTCTCCTGCAGTGCGTTGCTGTAGTGCAGCGAAAGGCTGAGCATCTCGTCCTTCAGCTTCAGCACCTCGTGGAAGTGGGCGCTGACCTCACGCTTCATGCGGCTGTGGTCGGCCTCCAGCTGGTGTAGGCCCTCAGCACGGGCCTCGGCCTGGCCCAGGAGCTCCTGCAGCCGCCGGCACTGCTGCACCAGAGCCTCCTTCTGCCCCTTCTCCTGGCTCAGCTCCTCCTGCAGGCTGCTGATGGCCCCGGCCAGGCACTCGGTCAGCTTAGACGTCTCCATGAGTCCTGCAGGGGAGGCCTGGGCATCACTCCCTGCCCCCACTCCTTGTCCTCCTAGGCTTTGCTTCTTGCACTGAGATTCTCAAGAAGACTCCCCCAGTCTATCCATCTCCTTCAAGGCTTCCAGGGTGAACTTCATTTGAGGTTTTGGTAAATAAACCACATGATTTGAGATTTTTGGTACAAGGGTTACCCAGTCTTGGCTTCCCTGGGAAACCCTGCTGTTCAGACCCCACTGCCCTCCTCAGCCCAGACATACTCAATGCTAATGCATTTCAATGTCATCCTAAAAAATAACCAGGAACATAAATCTGCATAGTTGATCTCTAAGTAACAAGCATGGACTGCGAGGGAGACAGGCAGAGATGTCTTCTCATGCAGTTTCCAAGGACGTCTGTCCTGCTCCTCTGAATTCCCAAACCTTTCAGCAGTTCCTCAGGGAAACCTGAAATTACTCAATTAACAAAAATGGTCTTCTCTCCCCACAAGGTGGAGTGAACCTTTGCTTAGTGGGCAGAGCACAGGCACAGAGGGCTGCGGCCTCCACTCCCCTTCTGGCAGGCACCTCTGCCCAGGACTGGGCTGCCCTTCACCCCGAGCATGGGCCCCCAGTGGGCCGACTAGGAGCTCTTCTAGGGAAGGGATACTTCCCCTTCACCTGCACCCGAGAAGGTTGTCCTCTTCATGCTGGCTAGTTAGGGACAGACTTTTCCTTCTAGAGCCCAAGGTGATGGGCTCCTTCTCCTACTGGCCTTCACTACAGTTAGTGGGGGTTCTCCTCATCCCCAGAGCACTGAAAGGACAGAAAGGAACCTCTGCCTGAAGGCATCAGGAAAAGTGTTGGGAACAGCATGCCAGCAAGGCGGGACCCCAGAGGTTACTAGGAACCAGAGGCTCCAATCGCAGGCCAAGCTCTCACCACTGAAGGTGCTGAAGTCCACATCGGGCTGCAGCCCGGTGACCAGGGTGTAGATGTCGGGGCTGTGGAACTTCAGGCTCTCCAGGAAGGCGAGGGCCCCGTTCTTCCCCCGTGTCCTCAGCAAGTCCAGCAAGTGCCCTTGGGAGACGGACAGTCTTGGCTAAGCAGACGTTGGGCGGGCTTCCCTATGGGGAGGGGGGTGGTCCTCGCACATCTGGGAATCAGGATCGTGGGGTGGGGTTCCTTCTGTTCTGGAAGTGGCAGTCAGCCTCGAGAAGGGCGAGGACATGTTTACTGAGCAACTACTACGACTCAAGTGCCGGGAGTTGGAGCTAAGAGACTAAGGAAGATGATCGCAGCTCTCAACACCTACCAGGCATGCTGGTGGACATGTGCAGGCACGTGTACCAAGCTCATGGGAGGAAAGAAGCAAACACCGGCACCCCGGGCCCCGGGCCCACCCAGACCCCATCACTCTCAGCTTGGATTCATTTCTCCTGCTTTTGAGGTTCATCAGACAACAGGCACAGAGAGCATCATGTCAACTGCCGCTTACTACTGGCTCCCCTTGGCCAGGCTATGACCACTTACGACCGGCTCTCCGTGGCCCAGGCTATGACCACTTACTGCTGGCTCCCCGTGGCCCAGGCTATGACCACTTACTGCTGGCTCTTCGTGGCCCAGCCTTTGAGACAAGTGTCTTATGAACAGAAACTGAGTGAGTTCTCCTAACAACCTGACATTTTGGGAGAACACCATGAACTTCCCCATCTTTGAATGAATAAACACAGACTGTCAGTATTGGCTTCAAAGACATCTGGTCCCTAAGGGTGAATTGTGTTCCCTAAGGTGTGTCCACCTGGAATCTGTCAATGGGACCTTATTTGGAAGAAGGGTCTTTGCAGATGTAATTACGTTATGAACCTTGACAGGAGAGTATTCTACATAACCTGAGTGGGCCCTCAATCCAATGACAAGTGTCCTCATGAGAGACAAACAGGGAGAGACAGTCAGAGAAGGCCATGTAGAACAGAGGCAGAGGCTGGAGTGATGGGGCCACAAGCCAAGGGATGCCTGAGGCCCCCGGAAGCTGAGAGAGGCAGGAAGGATCCTCCCCTGGAGCCATCAGACAGCGCATAGCCCTGTCCACACCTTAATTTCAGATGTTTAGCTTCCAAACTATGAGAGAATCCACTTCTACTGTTTGAGGCCACCCACTTGGTGGTCATCTGTTATGACAGCTCTGGGGAAACAGATACCCGTCTGGAACTTGGGTCCCCTCCGCTGCTGGCTGGGCAGAGAGGCCGTGGTGCAGAGCTCACCGACTCTCATGGCGGTGTTGGTGAACCTGGGGCTGTGCAGCACCTCCTCTTCGTCCAGCTGGCCCAGCACCTTGGCCTGGCGCAGGTAGGGGGTGAGGCGGCTGGGGCAGATGCTGTGCACGATCTTGTAACGGTGGCTCTCCATCATCTCCCACAGCTTCTCCTCGTCCAGAGCTGTCAGCGAGGAATTGGTCCGGCGCAGTTCCGCCATGGCTGGGGATCCTGGACAGAAAGGGGGTGAAGGAGGGCTGGAGTCAGTGCCACGGCTCCCGGGCCCAGGGAGGCCTTCCCATTCAAACCATCTTCCCCATGTCACAGGCAGGGAAAGAAATGACCAGTGCGAAGAGGGTGATGATACCAACCCTTGCCCTGGTGTCCTGTGACCAGCAGGAGAAACATCAATCCAGTACCTGGGGCAGAGCAAGATCTGGGTTTCCTTTGCTTTCTGGAAGCTGGATTTGCCTCTGACACACAGGCTGCTGTCCCCAGCCCAGGCCCGGGTACTGGCTTAAGAGATGGGTCTAGACCACAAATTCTCAACACAGGGGATGCAGCCCCACAGGGCCAGAAATTAAGTCTTGAGCAAAAATCTCTACTCTTCTGTGTATACCGCACAGATGTGAACAGATGACAGTAATATTTCATGGCAAGTGCAGAAGGAAAGGATGCCTGGAAAGCTCCTCAGGGGTGGTGGTAAAGCCCTGACACTGCCCTAAGGTGACTGTGAGGTTGGACAAGCTGGCAACCAGAGGGAGTGCTCTGGTCTACATTGTACTCGCAGAGAAAGTATACTGCTTGTACTAACACGGTGGACGCCTGTCATTTTCAGCAACCCCAGGCCACTTGTACTGAGAAACCCGGGAAGTGTGTTAGGGGAATGATACTGTAAAAGCACATTATAGATGGCTGTAAAACCAGAAGGACTCTTCCAGGGAGTAGGCAAGGCCACGCCCCTTGGCTGGTGGGTGGGCGGTGAGGGTGTCTGAGGGCCGAGCTGCTGCAAGCCTAGGCAAAACCCTGGCTGGGTCCCAGACTCCAGGTTTGTGAATCAAGTGCCTGGAACAGCCCAGTCACAGCCCTGGAACGGCATCTGTCAACTTCCCAAGGGGTTTGCTCATGGGGTGGAGTCCAAGCTTTTCTGATAGGAGGACCTCAGAGGGCTCCTCCCAGCCTCCCACCCACAGAGCACTCCCTGGGCCCTGGCTCTATAAATGCCAGTCACTTCCCTGAGGCCCAGGCACAAGGTCCTATTAATCCATGTAAATCATCCTAAAATGGTTTTGAACTGTGGACTCTCTCAAGCATATAAAAACATCTGCAAAAGACAAGACGACTATCCGCATACCCCCCAGGCACAGTCACCCGAGCTGACACTCTGAACTTCGGGCTCCTTTTTAAGGAAACGCATCTTTAGAGACAGCTCAGCCCTGTGCTCGAAGTCCCTCTGCCAAATGTGACAACAAACAACACATAGCACTTGGCCTGATTCTGTGTAAGCAGCAGCTTCTCACAGTGTCTACTGGTACCTCTCACTTCACATCCACAGCATCCCGCTGGACAGGGCACACCTGAGCAGGTGTTTGGGGTTTAGCATCTGGACACATGGCTACATAAACTTTTTCTAACTGCCTCATATGAGTAAAGCACAGTAGATGTATCGATGGTCCTGTGGCTGGGTGTTACGTTGTTTCTACTTTTCCTCATCACACTCGGTGCTGCCATGATGTACTTGTGCACAGGTGGGGCAAGCGTGGGCACAGGTGGGAGCGTTTCTCCTGGACCCGAGAATTCCTGTGATTTGGTACTTTTATGCCTCTTGCGAGGTGTACACCAAACATGCTCAAAAACCAGAGCAAGTCAGCCAAGTAAACGAAGGAAAATGGGAAATGGTCGTTGGAGGCTCCTTCTCTGTGGATAGCCTCCCACAACTCAGCCACAGGACCTGGTCCACAGCACACACTCACCAAGATGCTTACGCTCCTCTGTGCAGGAACTGTTCATGGTGCCGTGGTCACCGGTGTCCCCTCCTGGCTGCATGGCTGCATGTTGCAGGCTCCTCTGCAGGATTCCGGGCAGCGGGACAGGGCTGGGCAGGAAGAGCCTGCCAAACCAGTGCCACGGTGATCCGATGACTACTACTTCACCTCACGTGACTTGCTCCAAAACTCAAAGTTCAGGTCCCAAAGCCTAGTGCAGGGGGGAAGGCAAACTTTGATCCAGGAACAAAGAGACAGGTCTTCTACCCCATGCTTTGCTCAGTAAATGCAGAAGCTTCCTCAGCACTGGGAAACAGGTGTCTGGAGAACTGGGCTTTGAAGCCTAGAATGACTAGGAGAGTCAGCAGGTGCAATGGTGACCCACTTGCTGTGGGCTCCCTGGGCCCCTCACCTCCAGACCAGACCCCACTGACCCTCCCCCCCTCAGTGTCCTTGCCAGAGGGAGGGCTTGCTGGACAGGTTGGGGGGTGAAGATGGGGAGCAGGCCATCGAGCTGGTCTGTTTCTCTGCCCTTGGGCAGTTCTCTCCTGATTTCTTCAGGGGAAGGTTGACGGATGCTCATGAACCATGGTGCTGTGGGTTGAGTGGTGTCCCCCCCAAAAGATATGTTAAAGTCCTAATCCCCCAACACCTGTGAGCGTGACTCTTGGAAATAAGGTCATTGCAAAGTTAAGATGAGGTCATTAGGTTGAGACTTAAGTCCCATATGATGGGTGCCCCCGCAAGGAGAGACCCAAAGTCTCACACACAGGGAGGATGCCAGGTGACAGCCAAGGCAGAGACTGGGGGGATGCCGAGGGCTGCAGGCAGCACCAGAAGCTCAGAGAAAGCAGGGGGCAGACTTTCTCCCAGGCCCTCGGAGGGAGCCAAGCCCTGCTGACACCCTGATTTTGGACTTCTGGCCTCTGAGGGGAAGGGTGGGGCTGGGGAGTGGTAGATGAAGTACGTGAGGCTGGTTTCTTTTTAGGTGAAGAAATGTTCTAAAATTGACCATGGTGATAGTCATATGCACTTGTGAACACACTGGAAGCTACTGAACTATGCTCCTTAAGTGGGTGAGCTGTGCAGCATATAAATTGGACCTCAATAAAGGTTTTTTTTAAAAAACAGAAATACTGGCGACCATTCGCACTTGCCATGGCCCTATTTGGACAGGATGCAGATGAGGGAGGTGGTGAGGACGTCCCCTCAGCAGCCATCCTGGGCTGGGGGTCCAGGAAGAAAGCCCAGACCCCACCAAGAGCTCCTTGCTGCGAGGTGAGCATTGGGCATTTCATCATAGACCTAAGACTAAGTGTTCGTGGGAATTAGAGTCTGAAAATCCAATGGGAAGTCTCTTCCTTGACGAAGTAATGCAGAGTGAGAGCCAGCACCCTGAGTGGTGGGCAGGGCGTGCAGGGAGAGGCCACCTTGGGGCTCAGGGCCAGGGGTAGACACTCACTGTCTCAAATGAGGCAGTCGATTTCCTATAATATCTCTCAGCGATTTTCAACCAGTGTGCTTTAAGACTTTTTAAAACATGCCATACCTGCCTATTTAGTCAGAGGCACTGACCTCTTTCCCCTTAGATTATCAAATAAGAAAATGACAACAGCCAACACAACAGCAGTCGTCCGGTGTGAATGCCGTGTCTTGAATCATAAATATATAGGTCACATAACAGAGTTCCATCTTATTGGTCATGTCACATAATACAGTTGTGTCTGGTTGGTTAATTCTTGGTACCAGAAATCCTTATATACAAGTATAGACACCTGTTTTTTTAAAAAGTCACTTTGGAGCAAAATGATAATTACTATTATTACTTTTTAAATTAATCAAAAGTACACCTACTTTTGGATCAGCTCAGTATTTTTGTTGTGCTGCAGAGTGCTAGTAATTAAGTTACGTGCCAGATGAGAAGGTTGAAAACCGCCGCTCTAGCCTGCTGTGGGTTCCACAATCCTGCACCTGAGCCTTCGTGGGGGGTTTAAGGAAGTAGCAGTTCTCGTGGCTGAGAAAGTCACACTGCATCTGGCAATTCCATCACTATTTTTAAGATAACTTGAAATTTAAGTAAAATTAAAATTTTACTTTTAAATCACGGAGAATGTGATCTCCTTGTGGTAAAACCATGTTAGTGGATCTCTCTCTAAAAGTCCCTCAGTCTATATACTTATCTATTCATCTGTCCAATCCACAGATCTGTCCATTGTTCAGAGAGAGAGAGAGAGAGAGAGAGAGAGAGAGAGAGAGAGAGAGAGAGTGTGTGTGTGTGTGTGTGTGTGTGTGTGTATGAATTCATGGGACAGAGAGATAGAGACAGACAGCCAAAATCACTAAAGTCTTCAGTTCCTAAGATGTGGGTCCTCCTGTTTGGCCCCTCCCTTGTCAACATTCTTCTTGTACCCCAGGCTCAGTCTCCTGTCTTGCCTGTGACGTGGGGAGAAGAAAGTACATGCACACACACGCACGCATGCGCAGGACTTCAGAACAGGAACGGATGCCTTATAGAACGCTGAGGGGATTTGATGATCCATAAGCACGATGGGCACAAAAGGGAGAAGTGCCCTCTGCCCCCTCAGCTCCACTCTGGCACCAAAGTGCCACTTTCCATGTGTGCCTGGCCCTCACCACCGAGAGCAGGTCACTGTCCTTGCTTCACACCTGAACCTATAAACCTCCCTTCCCGTCTTTCATCCTGGGGCAACAATGCAGCCATCAAAGCACAAACTGAGCATCCTTCATCCATCAGGCCCACACTGTGCCACATGAAGGTGAAACTTGGCCAAAGAGCACTCACATACCTTAAACAAGCAAAGCAGTTAACAAACCAGCACCGCGCCCTCCTCAGAAAGAAGCCACCCCATTTCCCCAGGACAGCTATCAGCCCCCATTTCAGGTCCATCTGCCCTCCCGTGTGCTGACCTGCTCTCCTCAGGACCAACTCCACGCTGCCGTTTCAGGTCCTCCAGAAGGGACGACTGTGACAGTCTCGGTTAAACAGCAGCAGATAAGCAGGTTTGACAGGACGTCCGCCCTGCCCTGCCCAGGGAGGCGATGCCTCACACAGGCCTGTGTGCATCACTGAGCCCCAGTACATCCTCACAGGAGGACTGCCACGTGCAGAGCTGTGAGAGCCGTGGGAACCTTCTGGAAACTGCCCACGCATCTGGCCTCAGCATGGGGGAGACCCTCCTCCGTTTGTGAACAGCCAGCCTGGTTCATCACAAGTCCCTCAGAGAACATCCTGGACCCTTAGGAACCATTCCGGAGCCCACTTTGGTTCTCATGTTCAGTACAGGAAGTCTCTAATTCCAGTGGATCCATCTAGAATCAACATATGATGATCACTACTTAGATCTGGACTCCAGCCTTGGCTCTCCTATGCAAATGTATACCCAGAATCGCTCAACTGCTTGACACCTGCATGGCTGTGACCTAATCATCACCTACCTGGACCCCTGCAATGATCTCCTATGGCCCCCAGAGCCAGTTCTCAACACAGCAGACAGAGCAGATTCCAAAGGGGTGGTCTGCTCATGTCATTCCCTCTGATCAGCAAGCCCCCATGGCCTCACTATGACCCAGGCACGAGGCCCTGCCTAGCTCATGCTTGCTGACCTCATCTCCATTCACCTGCTCCACACGCATGGGCCTCCCTGCTAGCCTGGTATGCTGTGCACACTCCTGCCCCAGGGCCTCTGCACTTGCAGTTCTCTCTGCCTGCAATGCTCTTTCCCTCACCTCCTTCAGGATTCCATGCAAGGGATCCCTTTCCAGAGAGGCCTTTCCAGGCCACTCTATTTAACATCACAGGCTTCCCCCTACCCTACCCTCCCCGGTTCATTTTTCTGTATTGGACCCATCGCTCCCTGGCATGCTATGTATTCTAATTCCTTGTAGGCTTCTTGCCTGCCTCCCCACTGAGTCTGCACCTTCAGAGGACAAGAACTCTTTTCCTTCTCTTATAAATCAAGTCATCTTTTATCCTGGGGTATCCTGTGCTCCTCTCTCCCCAAAGACAGACCAACATGCAGTGGCGCTAAGGCAGCCATGATGCATTTAAACGTCACTTCCTTGTCTGTAAGACCTTTCCTGATCTGTCCCTGCTCACCCTCCTCCCAACCCCACCACACCTGTACTCATGATGCCACAACCACCCTGGCATCCGTCCCTTGATCATGCCAATCCCTTGCCCACCTGGGGGTCTTCGAACTCCCTGTCCCTTCTTCCTGGAACACTCCTCCCAGGGTGTTACCGTGGCCACCTCTTCACAACGCAGGTGGCACCTTTCTCCTGCAGCCACCATCACCACCACCACCAATACATCAGTAACCCACTAACTCTCTTCCACTTCCTTCATGTCATTTGCATCACAGTAGCTATAAATACTGCAATCGTCTTATTGTTTTGCGTGTTTTGTTGGGCTTACCCTCTTCCAGAGCACAGCTCTGGGAGGATAGTCTGTCCTGTTTGCCGCCCAATTCGGCACCTCAGAGATGCTCCATGCACATCTGCTGCCTGGGTGCCAGATGCCAGTCAGGTGGGGTCAGGCAGGGCTTCGGGCTTCATTAGCTTCGCCTGCCAGGCAAATAGGTTGGAGAGGGCCGCACCTAGAGAGGAACAGTGTTTGCCATTGAGAACCAAGTAATGGGTGGGGCTTCTGGTGAGAAGTCCCTCTTTTCGGACAGCCCCTCTGATCCAGGACCTCAACTTCTGCGATGATGACTCATGGAAACCCAGTCTAGCCCAGGAGCACTACACCCAAACCTCCTCCTGCCCAGGACAAGACGATCCACCTTGACCATCTATACCCCGAGTCCAGCATGGGCCCAAGGAAAGAGGCAGGTCCAGAGGTGCAGCCTGTAGAGCTGGTTCTATCTTCATCTCTCTGGCCTGAGCTCCAGGAGCTCCTGGACAGCGAGGCCTGTCCTGTCTCTCCTGCCCTGGACATCTAGGCACACCTACTGTGTCCCATGGCAGCGACAGGGAACCAGATGTGGGCTCGTCCCTGGGATTAGTCTAAGCAGGTGTGATAAGTTCCTCCCCACATACAAACAGTGTGAGAGGTGGGGCACAGGAGGCACCCTGTATTTTGAGGGACAGGTATCCCACCTGATTAGACTCACCCAAGGATCCCAAGGAGGGCAAAGACAAGCCTGCTTTGCTCCCCACGGCTCACCAGGCGACTGCACTGACACCTGTCCCACCCCTTAGCTCCTGTCATTTTCAGGACGAGGGCTCTGAGATGTGTAGTCACACAGTGAGCGGCAGGCTGCCAGGAGAATGGCGTAAAATCTCATAAAAGCATGAGGGCAATTGTAGGGGGCCCACGAGTGAATTTAAAACGCTCAGCAAGTGTACCGGAGGCCACGACCAGAGCATTAGTAGGAGAGCCCGGCAACCTCTCTCCCTCCTTTCATTCCAGAACTCGCAGTCCCTCACCCTCGGTCCACTCTCTCCCCACACCCCTGGCTTATTTTACACGCTGTGAAGCACGTACAACGGCGCCACCCAATAGAAATACCACGTAGAACCTAAACGTTTCTGTATTAACGTGTTTCTATCGCGCCTGGCGGGCGTGGCTCAGCGGCGGAGCATCCAACCAGGAACCAGGAGGTCGCGGTTGGATTCCGGGTGGGGGCACAGGCCGGGCTCCATCCCCAGCAGGGGGCGCGCGTGAGGCAGCCGGTCAGCGACCCTCAGCATCGATGTTTCTCTCTCCCCCTCCCTTCCTCCCGCTCTCAAATCCATAAAAACATATCTTTAAAAGTTTCTATCATGTAGCTACATTTTAATAGTAAAAAGACCAACAAAATTAAAGTAACGTAGTTAACTCTGCATCTAAAATATCGTCACTTCAACATCAAACCAACAGTTGCTGGGATTCCCGTCCTCTTGCAGCCCCGCCGGCGACAGGCGCGGCCCGGGGACGGCGGGGAGCCCGCGGGGCGGCCGTTCCGCTCAGCGTCCGGGAAGGAACCTCGGCCCAGTAAGTATCCGGTACCTGACCCACGCCGGCGCCCCGCTGGGCCCGTGTATCGGGTCGGTTCTCGTCAGGTGTGGACATTTGTTGCTAATCCTGAGCCGGGGGCATTTCCCACCGCCCGCGAGAGAGAGGGGAGGGGGGGACCGGCTGCCCCACGCGCCCCAACCAGAGCTGGGGACCCAACCTGCAGCCAAGGAACGCGCCCCTGACCGGGGCCGAGGCTCCGAGCGCTGAGCCCACCCGCCAGGCCCGGGTTTGGGCACCTTCGGACGGCGGCGTGAGAGTCGAGAGAAACCAGCGCAGGCTCCCGCGCT